AGTGGTGATAGTGGGAGGGTAGAGGGAGAGTGGGTTGGAAAGGGGGAACCGATTACAAGGATCTACATGTGACCTCCTCCCTGGGGGAGGGACAACAGAAAAGTGGATGAAGGGAGACGTTGGACAGGGCAAGATATGACAAAATAATAATTTGTAAGGTATCAAGTGTTCATGAAGGAGGGAGGAGCAGGGAGGGAGGGGGGAAATGAGGAGCTGATGCCAGGGCCTTAAGTGGAGAGCAAATATTTTGAGAATGATGAGGGCAATGGATGTACAGATGTGCTTTACACAATTGATGTATGTGTGGATTGTGATAAGAGTTGTATGAGTCCCTAAAAACACAATTAAAAAAAATAAGTGGTTCAGATAACCATTGCAAATTGATGAAATTAGCCTTTAATTATACATGGAATGATAAGCTTCTGACCTCTAAGAAATCCAGCATTGATTAGTTTTTGTTGATGTATGAAAAGCTGGGTAAAGTATAGCAAAAATTCATATTTACAATATAGGAAAAAAAGATGTGTTTATTGTAGAGTATGCGCATTCTGTTTCTGTGTTCATACTGTGCAGTCTCTTTATATTGTAACAATTTTTATTCTTTATTATCAGTTTCCTGAACGTCCTCAAATGACACCCTCTGATCACATCCCTAGAAGACATTCTCACGAGAGCCAGGAATTCCGGTGCCAGATCCACGTGAAGAATTACAGGAAATGCTCTGGAGATGGATCATTCAAGGAGCCACTGGGAACAAACAGAAGAGCTCATTCTCTGAGTCAGGGAGGTTCAAAGTCCTTTGAACAGCAATTGTGCTTTAGAACCAAACGTGCTGTCTCTTTGGTATGTAATAGGATTGATTATTAAGCATTGAAACCATTTTAGAAAAGGGAACCCAAAGGGTTCATGATGTCTAAGTTTAAGGAGAGTACATCTACAGTTTTCTCATTTACCACTTCTTGGTGATAAAAATCTTTGAAAAGTGATGTTCAGTTTAAGATAGCCCAGCTGTACATTATTTTTTTTCATTGAATACATCTGGTGGAGGAGGAAGTTCTGGAGGGTTTGGGCAGCAATGCTATGGTTACTGAGGTCCTAGAGTTCTGCAAACCTGCTCTCTTCACTCTTCCTATGAAGAATTGCGTCTCATTTGTTTTTTGATGATTCGGCTATTTGAAGAGAAAAACTGCTCCTGCTGCTCCGCTCCTTTGATATAGAATCTAGTAACTAATAGTGTATGGTTGTGCTTATCTGCTGGACTTTCAAATAGCCTACTGAGAGCGCTCTAATGAGTATGCGGGAATGGAGTGGTCCAGCTGTTCACAGTGACTTCCTGGAAGCCGAAAGGTGAGATAGGCCTGAAAAGAGAGGAGGAATCGAAACTCCACCAATAACATACCTGACACATAAAATAAGAAATTAGATATAAACTAATTTTTTTTTGGTTTTGCTCTTTTTAAAAAAAAATAATTTTATTAAGGACTCATGTAACTCTTATCATAATCCATACATACGTCAAGTGTGAAGCACATTTGAACATTCATTGCCCTCATCATTCTCAAAACATTTGCTCTCCATTTAAGCCCCTGGCAAGATATAAAGTAATTTGTGGGTAGTTTTTCAAGCCTGCAACACTGAGTAGCCTTGAGCAAAATAATTTTTTGTGGCCTCTTATTTTTTATTTGCACAAAATAAGGACTAATAATGACTTACTATTATATGGACAGTAAGTTATTATTATTTTCTATATAATAGTAAGTCATTATTAGTCCTTATTTTACAAAAATTGCTAATATATAGAAAGAGGAACACTGATGGCGTCGTGGTTCTGCATTGGATTGTTATCTGCAGGGTCAGCATTTCAAAGCCACCAACCATTTCCACAGGAGAAAGAGGACTTTCTACTCCTGTAAAGAGTTACAATCTCGGAAACTCACCAGGGCAGGTTTACCCTGTCTTCATCAACCAGATGGCAGTGAGTGAGAGTGAGTGATTATATAGAAGGCACAGCAAATAATTAAACCAAGGTGTATTCACTCCTGGTTCTTAAGCTGTACGCTGTTGAAGACATGTAGATGTTTTTATACACCTTTTTGGCACAATGCCTTATCTAACAGCAATGGCAGTTGGGATTGTCACTATATATCAGTTTTGCTTGGAGTGATGCTGTCTGCCTAAGAGTCTTGTTTCACAGGGTGCTCTTTCCACCTGATCATAAGAGGAATGAGGAAGAATAGTGAACATTGAACTCTGTTACTAAGAGTTCCGTTTTCATCTTTTCTGTTTACCGACTAATTTGATATAGTTTAGATTAAGAAGCAAGGTTGCAAAAATAGTACAGAAGATTCCCATACCCCATTCTCCAGTATTCTTCCAAATGTTAACATGTGTTTTAACTACCCAGAGGAGCTCTTTTGTCTTAGAGGAGCCTTAGTGGTTACTCATTGGGCTACTAACCGCAAGATCAACTTTTCAAAACCATCAGTCACTTAGTGGGAGAAAGACAAGGCTTTCTACTCTTGTAAAGTATTAGTGTTGGAAATTCACAGGGGCAGTTCTAGCCTGTCCCATAGGATCACTACGCGTCATCGTGGACTCAATAGCAGTGGGTTTGGTGTAGTACTAATTGTTGTTAGGTGCCATTGAGTCAGTTCTGACCCATGGGGACCTTATGAACAATTGAAGGAAACACTGCCCACTGCTGCACCATCCTCACAATCGTCCCTGTGCTGCTACAGCCACAGTGTCAATCCATCCCCTTGAGGGCTGGACCACACACACCACAAATGGGGGACTACAAAGAACAGATTTGTTTTCTCACAGTTCCAGAGGCTACAAGTCCACCAGAACTGGATTTGACTGTGTCAACTTGTTCTTTGACTGTAGTTTAGATCTTTCTTGGTTTCTTGGCTTGTAGAAGATTCTCATGGGCAATTTTTCTCCCCCATCTAATGCTTGTCTCTGAATCTAATGTGCTTTTGATAACTTGGAAGTGATAGTTTAGAACACTCTGTAGTGATATGGCCTATTAACATAACAAAGAAAACCTTGTTCCTGAATTGATTATATGCACAGGCCTTGAGGTTAGGATTCCAACATATATTTTGGGGGGGAAAACTCAGCTCATAACTTGTCAGCACATTTTCATATCTTGTTCTCTTCCTCTCTCTCCCTCTCCCTTCTCCAAACAAGGAATTCACTTATATAATTGCAGTTGTTGTTACTTGGTGCCCTCATTTGAGTCAGTTCTGATTCACATTGATCCTGTGTATAACGGGAGGAAACACTGATGGCCTGGTCCTGTGCCATTCTCAAAATTCTTCTTATGTTTGAGCCCATTGATGCAGCTGCCGTGTCACTCCATCTTGTCTCTTTCGCTGCCCGTCTGCTTTACCAAACATGACGTCCTTCTCTAGAGACTGATCTCACTTGACAACGTGTCCGAAGTATGTGAGGCTGAGTACAATTATTAAACTTAGGAAATCAACATTGATACAATACTATAATCTATAGACCCATTCATATTGAATACATTTACTGAATAATATTCTCTATAGAAAAATCCTAGGTCAGGTGTTACATTGTTTTCAAGTATTTTAGTTTATTTTAATCTACTGCAGTTTTTCTGTCTTCATTGACTTTGTTTCAGATTATCAGTCAGTTTTTTTTAATGGCCCTTAATTGAATCTTTGTGATTCAAATGACAAATTTCTGGCAGGATTTAAACAGAAGTGGAAAAAATACTGTTGTAAAACTGACATGTTGAATTGTTTATTAATCTAGGAGACTTAAATCTATTTTGAAACAAAACCAACCCGACCAAACCCACTGCCATCCATTCGATTCTGATGTTGACCCTATAAGACAGAGTAGAACTGTTTCTTAGGGTTTCTGAAACTATAAATCTCTGCAGGAGCCTCATCTTTCTTTTATGAAATAGCTGGCATGTTTGAACCACTAATCTCATGCCTTTAACTTTTAATATCTCACATTCAACATTTAACTCAGTGGTGCCATTCAGCTCCTTATCTGGAAAAACAAACAAACAAACAAACAAACAAACAAACAAACAAACCCCACTGCCATTGGGTTGGTTCCAACTCCTCGTAACCCCAAAGGATAGAGTAGAACTAACTGCTTCTCAGGGCGTCTGAGCCTGTAAGTCTTCACAGAAGAAGATTGCCTCCCCTCTCCACAGAGCGGCGGGTGGGTCTAACTGCCGACCTTGAGGTGAGCTGCTCAAGGCTTACTCCGAAGTGCCACCAGGAGCCCTTATGTTTGGAACAAGGTAGGGTCCTAGATACATTAAAAAAATTAAATCTGAACTATTTATTATTGATTCTGTGACTGCATAAACTTTTGATAAATAATTCGTAATCATAATAACTTCCTTATTTGAAAGTCACTTGATAATAAGTCCTAAAGGTATGTAACTATCAAGTAGTTTGTTTACCTAAACAGATATTCTTCACATTATCCAGCAAACAAAATATGCTTGTCCTAACAATTTCCAAGTGTAAAGAAAACTTAAGACTGCATGTTAACTTTTTTGACCTAAGAATAATCTTTACAGTTATATATAATATCTAGAAATTAATGAAATTATTTTAAATGGGCATATTATATGATAAATAAGTAATTTAAGTAGATATTTTATTATCTATCCATTTCAAAGTTTATAGAACTCATTTAAATTAAAATGCATAATATATGTAAATGCAGAATATTTTCATATTTATTAATTGAATCACTTTTTAAAAGCTATTGACAATTACAATTAAATATATGATTGAGGATCCGATGCATACTAATAAGTAGATTTAGATTTTACATCTTAGCATTTAAAAGTCAGACTGCTTTAGTGATTTGGTCATGCCCAACATTACATTTTTTCATTTAAAACTTGGTGTATCTTTATAATGTCTATATTTTGCCAATAGGTAGTGAGATAACAAAAATATATTTTGGATCTTTATTTACAATCATTTTTTAGCTATTCTATTCTTAACACAGGGAAAGGCATATTGGAAATAATCATAACTATATTTTCTCTTTCTCATTTAATGCTTTATTCTTTGTTTTTATTTAATTCAAAATCACTAATAACAAAAACATTGAGAAATAATTCTAGTACCTTTTTTTTAAAAACATTTTATTAGGGGCTCATACAACTGTTATCGCAATCCATACACACATCAATTGTGTAAAGTGCATTTGTACATCATTCTCTTTTTTTTTTTTTGAATTGGGTCAATCTGGTTTTTTGTTTTTTTACATTTT